TAAGACGAGTGCTCTTGTCGCTCGACATCAACAAAGCTTCTGGTCCGGACTTGATTCCTGCCATTGTACTGAAGAGGTGTGCACCGGAGCTTGCTCCAGTTCTTTCGCGTCTCTTGTAGATATCTTATGAATCCGGCACCTTCCCAGAAAACTGGAAATTTGCTCATGTCCAAACCATCAAAAAAAAAACGGATCTAAGACCGACCCTTACAACTAGAGGCCTATAGCTCTGCTTTCTGTTATAAGTAAGGTGCTGGAGAGGTACATAAATCGCGAGCTTCTGGACTACCTCGAATCTCACGGCTTGATTAGCGACAGGCAGTATGGTTTCCGACACCAACGATCCACAGAGGACCTCCTAGCTTACGTCACTCAGTTGTGGAGTAAACTGATGGTGAGGGTCATGACGTTGCCCTTGACATCACAAAAGCGTTCGATCAGCTGAGGCACGCTGCCCTCTTAAGCGAACTTCCATCCTATGGCTTCCCAGAAAAGCTTTGCACATGGGTGTCTGACTTTATCTCTGGCCGCAAGATATCCGTCGTAATTGACGGGTTGTCCTCTTCATCCCACAACGTCAACGCGGGTGTTCCCCCCGGGGATCGGTCTGGGATCCGACACTGTTTCTCTTACATGTCAACAACCTTCTTCCCTGCACGATCAACCCAATCCAGAGCACTCTACATGCAGGAATTCCGAGTGACAAGCCGATCTCTGCCGCTGAGCTGAAAAAAGAAGGTTAGCGACGACTTCTTCTCTGACACGAGACCTGGAGGCTATCATTGCTTGGGGACGCAACAATCTTATACAGTTCAATGCTTCCAAAACAGTACTGTATTTTGACGAACAAAAAGCGTCCTAGCGCTCATTCGGTTTCGATGGATGGCCGAGTTCTGCCAAAGAGCCCTTCATTTCGGCTGGTCGGTGTCCAAATCACCGAGGACCTGACCTGGCACGAACATATCTAGTCAATAGCTGCAGCTGCTGGAAAAAAGCTAAGCTATTTGCTTAGAGCTAAGGAGTGCTTTTCTCCGCATGACCTTTTCACTGCATACAAGGCCCAGATAAGGCCTAGCCTTGACTATTGCTCACACGTTTGGGATGCTGCTGCCCCAACTACATTATCCATGCTCGATGCTGTCCAGAGGAGGGCGGTCCGACTGATCGATGACTCTTCTCTAACAGACAGTCTCGGAACTCTTTCGCACCGGCGTGCCGTTGGTGATCTAGCTCTTTTCTACCGCTACACCAACGGGCTTTGCTCTTCGGAGCTCTCTTCCATGATGCCGCCGCGCGATGTGCCTACCAGACAGACCCTCCTGACTTTGACGTCCCATCCTAACCGAGTCGAGCTTCGTACTTCCAGAACTAGGCGATACGACCTTTCCTTTGTCTCGAGGGTCTCGAGACTGTGGAACAATTTACAACATGAAGCTTTTTCCAGTTCTACTAACCTTAGGCAGTTCAAAAATCGTATTAAGAAAATTTCTTTGGGATCATCATAGCAGTCGCGGTGTTCCGGCATTTAGGCTTGTGCCTGCGCGGCTGCATTGATATAAAAAAAAGTATACAATGAGACAGTCAGAACCATAGGGTCTCACCAGAGGTGACAGCCTGTCGAAAATTAGGGTCTATCCGATTTTCTTTGCTGTCAACTGTTACTGCGGCATTTAGGGATAATCGATTTACCCACTTCTACTGTCGTTGTTGTTCAATATAAAAAGCTCTCCAAAATTATTCTTGCCTGAATGCATGTTAACAAATGATAAACTTTTTGATTTTGTAGTTTGATGTATGGCATTCGTGTCATCAGACTAGTGAATCGTAACCTCCCCTGAGAAAGTTCCTCCAGGCGCCCATGGAATCAGGTAGGGAACGCGCCAAATAGGGATCGACAGTAGCTGTCGTATCTGTGTAATCTCTGAGCAAAGCTAGAATTTCAATCAGCTACAACGATTACGAGAGCCAAACGTTTGCTCAGTATTCAAGTCATCTTTGGTTTTTTTATGGTGTATTAAATTTGTCAGCTTCATACAAAAGTATAAAATAATGCATCAATAATATGTGTCTACTCAAAACCAGTGGAAAATTATTTGCCTATACAAGGATCAAATACGTACAATGAGAACCTTACCTACTTCAGAACACATCTACCTACTGTCCTTTTTAGAACTATGTCACCTGAAGTGAATCGGACATCTTATGCTATTAACGATAAGTCAGTTCTCCAGATTGCCCAGATTTGAAATTATCTACCTGTAAGGTAACAATTGGAGTGTCTGTTTTTCTCAATGCAAGTTGTTCAGTATTTAAAACATGGATTCACAAAATGGGTATCTCAATTTTTGTTGTAGAACCTTCTATTCAACAACAAAGATTGTGCAAACACGTGTCATAGAGTTTACACTATAAATAATCATCAGGCTTCCTTTTGCAAACTGGCATGGTTGACTATGGCGTGCGTCGTTTGATCACAACGACAGTACACATAATGTTTTCCTTGTCTAATTAATGAATCAAAAAAGATACAACAGAGATGCCCTTGGGGATTTGAACCAGCATCCTACATACCAGCAGCCCCTTTCCTTTTTTATTTCAACAAAAAGCCTCATAGTCTATTCTATCTTTTAATGAGATTATTCCCCACTGACAAATCTGGAAAAATGTGAACGGATTTCTTCATGAAGCTCTCTTGGATTTCTTCACGAAATTAGAACTTGTTCGAATCTCTGACAAGGTGGACGTCAAATTCCATGATGCCAACCTTGTTTTCCTTTCCATTATATGGAAGAACTTTGATAGAACTACAGTATTCTGTTTATGATATTCGTCTGAAAATCAGAACCACAATAAGTAATACACATAAAAAATCAAAATGATTTGTTCTGTTGTGCAGACAGACAGATAATGAATTTGTTCATTGATAAAACACCACGAAACATAATCAGGATAACCTTGAAGAAATCCATATGAATAAATTCGTGAAGAAATTGTTGATGTAAACAATAATGATAATCTCGGAAATCCTGAAAGGTACAAAGACGAAACTTTGAATAACATAGTATGTTTAGGAGTTATAGTGATGATTTTGTTTAATTTTTCAGACGGTCAGTTGGTTACAATAAATTGGTTGTCTACTGGTTGTCATAATAAAATATTTCATTATTTCTGCAATTTAATCTTCAAAACTCAGTAGTTTCCTATGACGCTCGAATAAGTCCCCTCTTAGCCTCTTGGGCTCCCCTACTGAGAAAAACGAATCCGATCGATTTAACTCGTCCGATCTGTTTTGCAGGTGAGTGCATGGTCCCTGTCCTGTTATACTAATCCAATCTTTCCAGCAGTTTTTCGGAGAAAATGCGTCTCTTGCTAGTGCGCAATCCTATTTGGTACATCGCATCTTCGCCAGCTTAAGCCGCTAAAAGCTTTTTATCGAAAGAAAGTTCCGTGCTTCTTACCTGATACTCTTCGAGGATCCACCGTTTAACGGCATGACTTTTGCGAAAATTTAACTTTCGTGGTCGCTCTAATGTACATAAACTGCGTTACTAAAAATGAATACAGATGGAAACAAAGTTGATTAATATGTCGGTTGTTTGAAGAGCCTTCCCGATTTATAAATTACATACAGTACTTTTAAGAAACTAACCATGATGCATGGATACGGTATTTCAAGTGTCAGTTGAACTGGTCATCTTCGAACATTTTTTAATTGGAATGAGGGGTCACGTTATATTTCATTTTGTAGCCCCTTACCGGTACTTTAAAATCTTAGAACATAAATTTACTATCTTCCAAAATGGCGGACTGGCGGGTCGTCAAATCTGAGCGATCTTATTCATTGAGTGGCTAACTCACTAATTGATCATCATAACGTTATAGTATGTTTTACATATACACATATCTTTTTGCCATGGAATGGTCTATCTCGATAAATATGTAAACATTCCATTTTGAAAAATGTCAAAATCTGAACTAAGCTGAAGGGCGCACATTCCTTTTTTACAGTCTTTGTAAGACTATACAGGGTGTTACTTAATGATAGGCCGTAAGTACAAGGCGCCTGGACCAAATTGAAGTAGAAAAGTTCATGCATGCATCTTAAAACGTTTGGTTTCCAAGTCATGGGGTGTCAAAGTTTCATAAGAATTTTGGTTTTTTATCAACATCTCAAAAATGTTTGTGTCGATTTCGTCGAATTTTAGCAGTGTTATTCATTGCGATAACGCGCTAGCATAATACAAATAATTATGGATTCCATTGGCATCTTGGGAGGCAGTCTCACAAATAATATTGACAATAAAAATGAACGCCACTGACTCAAAAACCTATATATGTTTTTGCTCGGTTTAAGCATACCATTTCGTTGTCTCTTGGTGTCCCTTCGTGTCTTACTTCGTTTTCAAGGAAAAAAAAATTCCAAAACATGTTAAAAAATCACTTTAATTTAATCGATGCACACATTTTTCCCTCGAAAACGAAGGAGGATATGAAGAGAAAGAAGAAACATATTTATTAAAAATATCAGTAGTGTAAGCTTTTTGTCAATACGATTCGTTAGCACCGATAGCACTGGAACTCAATTATCTTCTAGCTAGATCTAAATTAGCGTCTTATTGCAATGAACAATACTGCTCAAATTCAACAAAATCGGCACAAAGAGTTTCTACATAAATTTAGCTCAGGGTTGCTTTCTTGCAATTATCAACGAATTTAGGCTAGGTAAAAGGAGCCAGTCAAGGATTTGTTTGTCTCTTAATTCGGTCTGTAGTGAGGATCAGAGTGCTCTTGACATAAGTCAATTTTTTGACAGTTCTGTCATAAAATTCCTATTTTTAGTGTTGTTTTTCAAAAATGCGGGTGGACTAACCCTGGGCTTCCGCTTATTAGTACTTTTTGGGACACACTGTATATCTATCAAAGGAGATAAAGACATATGAGGTTGAGTTGAAAAGGAATGAGATGTACCATGATGGACGGGCAAAATCTAATTGTTCCAGGTAAACATTCCAGTTCCAGACTCAGGACCAAGAGATTCCATGGTTAGTGATAATTTGACTGCCTACACAGAAGAATCATACGATGTACAGACTGTTACCGTACCTCTGACTATATGCTTGATGATTATGGTTGGGTAAGTTGGGTTTTCTTATCAAAAAGTTTAACATTTCATAAGGAATCTTAATGCATCGATTACGCGTAGCCAGTTCATTGGATTGATGAGTAAGGCTCCGTACGCTTTTGTATCATGGAAGTCTTCAGGCGATTCAGCTCAGTTGTTAATGCAGACTGAAGTGTGACCGAAGATAGAGAAAATATAAATATGAATAACATCTACCACACTTATTATATCACTCCTGCGAAACGAGGTAAATGAACAACCGCGAAAAGATGGAGAAAGTGGAAGAACAAGATTTGTTTTGAGGTGATCAGCACTTGGTGCTACCTACATTGCTTGGAAGATATTGTGAATTTGCTTTACCTTGAAGAATTAGTGTATTTATTATCGATGTCATATGATGTCAATGTTTTGTCGTTTGCTTTAACAAAAAAATGGCGTCAAGTAGGTTTACCCTGCACTATACCTATACAAGGCCGTCATTACATAAAGGATTAAGTTCAGCGCAATGTAAATCCTCTGAGAAAAAGGTCAGCCCCGAACATGTAATTAAGAAATTCAAATCAGTCAAACATGCTCCACACTAAATCTGCTTAACATATGTATGTAAAGTTATTGAAAATGGGTTGCAATGCATGCTGCGTTGAAAACTGTAAAGAATGCAGAAAACAGTACGTGCGAACTTTATACGTTTTCTACAGCAACATGGAAGTTAGAGCAAAGAAATAAATGAAAAGCTGTAGTAAAAAGGGAAAAGTAAGCAACACAATCTAGTATGATATTAGAGAAAATATCTTACACTACTGTGTAGAAATATTACAACCCTTATTCATCTGTTTTGATGCTGATGTGTTCCCATTGCATCCAAAAGATTATGACCAGCGACGGCTCGTGGTCTATGATACAGGGGGTTCACAAGTGGTATGAAATATTTTTTTTGCCACCACCAAAATTTTTATCTAATGCGTGGCGTAGAAGGCAATAAGAGTACTAAAACAAGCATCAAGGACACATTTTTTGTTTTTTTCTTTTATTATACACAAGAAAATACATTTATAAAAAATACAATTTTTTTAATGAGTACAGTGTTTAAACGTAAAGTCCATTCTCCTGATTTTATTTGCAGAAAATTTATCAATAACAGCCTCGTTAAAGTTTGGAATACCCGCTATACATTTTTTCTCGATAGATAGCATTGCTAGCGTTGACAGTCTTTCTTCATTCATAGAACTTCGCAAAAATGTTTTTATTCTCTTCAATGTCGAAAAGCATCTTTCACTTTTGGCCGTAGTCATTGGTATGGTAACAATTATTTGTAAAAGTGTAAAGGTGGCGGAAAATATGCTCTGAAGATTATTTTCTATAAAAAACTGTAACAAACTAATGGCACCAGTCATATTCCTGAAATCAGGTCGCCGGTAAATTAATTCCAATTCAGTCTGGAGACGAACTTTATCTAAAAACGAATATGCTTCTACCAAAGTTTCCAAATATTGCAATGGAAAATGCTTTTCAAATTGTGGAAATTTATCAGAAGAAAGAAGAATAGCTGCATTTAAATGTTTTGTAAAAGAAAATCTATCTGTTACGTGTGTAATTATGGTATCACAAACTTCCTTGGCTGCAACAGTTCTGCAAATATGCTGGTCTTCATTTGCACGATGCTTTTTAGTTTGAGTAGTAGTGGTATCTTCAGAAATTTCAGTTTCAATTGTTTCCAAGCAGTCTCTTTCTTTTTGGATGCAGTTTTCAAAACAATTTATGGCAGTCTGAATTTGCACTGGGTCAGTCACTGTTTTTTGTAACTGATTATATAAAATATCAGCATGTGGCAATATTCGATGAAATACAGTTAGCCCGAACACAAACTTAGAATCTTGTAGCATACGGCCAATACCAGTGGCTTGATTGATGGTAACAGTTTGTTTTGAAGTAGCTTTTATTTTTTCCATGCAATCTACTAACAATTCGCGATATTCATATACTGTATTTATAGATCTGCTTTTAAAATTCCATCTTGTAACAGAAGACCTAGGAACTCTTGCACCAACAATGTCATCCAAAACTGCAACTCGTTGTGGAGAATGAGAAAAAAAAAGTTGAAATATCGCTTAAATTTGAAGAAAATACCCGTACTTTTTGATTTTGGCTTGTAGCTTGCAATAAAATCAAATTTAGCTGGTGGGCATAACAATGAACGAAATAAGCATAAATATAATCACGTTGAATAAGAGCTTGAACACCTCCATGACATCCACTCATTACACTAGCGCCGTCATAACTTTGAGCTATCAGTTTCTCTGGTTTATCTAGCACTTGTATCAAGTTAGTTTTCACACATTCTGAGAGACTAACTGCATCGTGGTCAGGGGGGGGTAACAAAATTCCAAAAACGTTCAACTGGCCTTCCATCTGGTAGAATGTACCTAAATACTGTAGTCATTTGATAACAATTAGCTACATCCGTTGTTTCGTCAGCCATAACAGCAACAAATTCAGCTTCCAAAATTTCTTTTCTTATATTTTCCTGAGCCACTTATAACATGCAATCTAACAATTCGTTTTGAATGATTTTTGATACCCCTTTGAATACTGTCGATTTTTCAAAATGATCTTTAAGTGCTATATCTAATTCGGCAGTGAAATTTATTAAACCTCTAAAAATACCAGGATTTGATGAACCATCTTTTTCATCGTGACCGCGGAGGGCTAATTCAAAAGCTCCGCAAAATTTTATACAATCAATAATTTTTGAAAGCACATACCTATTCTTTCTAACTTGTTCATTTTGCTGTTGAATACTGCACCTATATGCACTGTCCAATTGCTGCCGTATATCTACTTTTCCCAAAAGCTGCATTTCCAGTTGCTCATTGTTATGAACTTGAGTGTTTTCATGTTTCTTAATTTTTTGTGCTAAATGTCCCAAGTCGACTATTCCATTTTTTGTCCAGGCAGGCTCTGCAACCACGTGACCAGACAACAAACAGGAAAAACAAAACAAACGGTTTGTTGTGCTGCATCCACAAATCCAGTTATTCTTTTCCTATATTTCCATTTTAAACTACTGCATAAAATTCACGCGCAACGGACAATGGCACACTCCAGAAGTGTGCGCCTTCTCCAACTAAAATTGCCATAACCCCGCTATACCCCGCAACCAGAACAGCAGGGTGAGAAACACACTAATCCCGCGTACATGATCGCATATGCGACTATTCGTCGTCATCCGTCGTCACCCGTCGGCGGCAGTCGGACCGGGCCACACCGAATCACAAGTCGGAATCGCCCGAATCAGGCAGCGCAGGGGTAAGAGTGGTGACTCACCAGTGGAGAGCTACTAGATCTTTGATTTTATACGATTAAATATCAGGGAGGCTCAGACTTTATTTGAGAAATTATTAAATGGATGTTATACATATTTATTATTATTTATTTTGGGGGTGCACGTGCTCATGTGCTCCTACAGTGGAACCGCCACTGATTATGACACTATAATACATATATGCAGTGAACATTTTATAGGAGGAAAAGTATGAAGCATATCTTGCACTTGCCATTTTGGCTATAAACACAGTCGCACTTATCTTTCGTTACGATACGTTCGTCATTGATCTGCTAAGTACTATTTCTTCGAGTAGACACACATTTAATTATTTATTGTCAGAAGTTCGTGTCACAGACGTTTGTATTATGATCAGAGCTCTTATTGAGTAGATTTTTCCGTTCGTTCTAACCTATTTAACGGCCATCACATTCTGTGATATCAGTAAGTTTAAGGGTGGAAGTTCAAATCATGCATTATGGATTCAAATCCCAAATGCAGTAGTATCTCACTCATTTTTTTCATATACTTCATTTTCAAACTTACTTAGTTTTAATGTATGTACGCTTTGTATTTTACGTTTAATGTTACGATGCCAATGAATATATTTCGGGAATGCGCGAAAGACAACAGGCAATGCAGCAAGAAAAGGCACAGCTGCGCGCAAACCTGAGATGAGGCGTTAGAGATATGTATGCATCCTTAAATGAAATTTTCTTCAAACGGCCAAGTGAAACGAATTCATTTACCTTCACCCGACGAAACCATTTTTGTAACAATATGAAGCACAACCTTCCAGTTGCCAAAAATTGCCAGGTCCCGAGTCCCGAATAATTATGTTCATTTAGCATTTTCTATCGGATCAAACTATTAAATATTGTATAACTCAGTGACATTACACGTTTTACATACATAAAAAATTATGTCTTCAACTTGTCTTTTTAGCAACATAATGACTATATTTTAAGCATGCTGTGGCGACAATGTCAACGTTTTATCTTTGTTTTTGTTTACCTTTGTTCAAATGTTCTTAGTTTTTGTGAAGAAAGCAGTTTCTGAGAGCTGAGTAGTACAGGTATTTTTATATATTGCCCTTTCATTAATTTACTAGTGTTAAGCATAACAAAATGCCTCGAGTTCGAAGGCGTCCAAATTATCACCATGCTGGCGACTTTGACAAGAATATAGTTATTATACAGGTTGTCCAATAAGTACCACGACAAACTTACTATATAAAAGTGTCATCGTTTTTGAGACATTGAATTTTTTCTTAAATCTTAAAAAACCAACCTTTTCATGTGTGGTCTTTAGCTGCATGTACAAATAAGATTACACTATGTGTATTTTTTTTATAAAATACTTCTAGATAGTTGTTTTATCATGTACAAATGCAATGTAGTTAAAAGATATTAAAGAACCATGATAAAATAAGTTATAACCTCCTGATATTGTATAGGTACATTTGCGGAGGAGCCTTGCTGTTCTGCAAATGGGAGAACCATTGGACCTTCTTGGATGCTTCTTACTTCTCCTTCATCTCCTTAAGCACCATCGGCTTCGGTGACTTAGTCCCAGGAGATAAAATATACGGAAGAGGCATTGACTTCTACAGCGAAGTGCTGGAACTCAGCTTCGTCTTCTGCTCCATATACCTTATGCTTGGTATGGCGTTGATTGCTATGTGCTTCAATCTTATGCAGGTAAGCTTTCTGTGTTATTAGTTGCATGTCCAATGATTAGTTCTGGAAAAAGTTTCATACACCTGCATTGTGATCTAATACACGGGCCTAGACAGCCCGGTGGCGTAGTGGTTAACGCTGTGCATATTACCTAGTCGCCGCGAGATGAGAGGGCTCAAATTCCGTCCCAAGAGAATGCTCTTAGCTATAGATGATTTGATTGTCTGTAGGTGGTAGACGGTCATAGGCCGTTGAGCATGGATGCATCACGCAATGGATCTTCAACGTGGGCGCATATCGAATGCACACATATTTCTTCTCCTTCCTTTTACACCTGCATCCCTCTAAGAACCCACAGAACCCACAGGTACTTAGACCTTAGGCCTGCGTGGTGGCTCAAGTATAAAAAAATACACCTTATTAGTTCTCCTTTAAGTTAGGTGAACGGAACGTTTAAGATATCTTTGCATTGATCCTACCACAGAAGGCTATATGGGGACGAGGCGTGGTCTCCAGTTGGAAACCATATTTATAATCCTTACCTAGAGGTATGCCTAAGCCTCCTAATTCACCAACTCCAGGTTTTTAATGATTAGTAAGACTGCCCGCGTATTTCTTGCTATCTTGTTCCCATCAACTGTCACTATTCAAGCTAAATGGAATCAGGCATTTTTTTCAAATACGGCGTACATTTTAGGGGCTCAGGACACTTTTGGAGCATGGCCTCAGTTTAGATTTGGATCCCAGGAAAAATTGTTGGTTCCGATTGAGAATCCTTGGATCTCTCTTGATTTCATCAGACAGAATCGCTGAATCTACTGAAAAATCAATAGAATTAGCACAGGTATCTTTGCATTTCCTTTAACAATTCCGGCACCTGTTTTACATATCTTGAAAAGTGACATTTTTGACATTATACTGTTTTTTTGACATTATGTAGGTTTTTCTACAATATGTTATCTTAGCACTTAGTTGTACGAGTTGCCTAAAAGTCATGAGGCTTCAGTTATCAGTGTTTGGCTCGTATGTGATGTAAAATCTGCTTCAGAGATGGCATTACTGGAGGTCTAAGCAGTAGGTTGTATGTGTTGATGTTAATTCCATTCGATTCTTGTCTCAAATACACTTATTAGAGATTCAAAGCTAGAAATTAGTTGCGCATCCACTTTTTTTATCCATTCTGGAAATTACATATTATGCAAATTTGCTGAATTTCAAAAATGAGAGAAATAATTAAATTCACTGTACACTGTCGAATTACAAGCCATATATATGCTAACAGTAATTACACACAACGCGGGCGCCGTGATGATTTCCCGAAATTCTCTAAGTTTTTCGTAATTTATAACTTTGAACATAACCTGTCTCCAGAAAAAACAACATATAAATAACTCATCGGGTTACAGCTTATAGATATAGTTCATTGGCAGCATATTCAGTCAAGATTTTCTCACATAGCAAATATCACTGATTTTATACACATGCAGACCAATACACATAATTATCCAGAGGCGACCCTGCTATTCAACCAACTTTTTTTTCAGAGATTAAAACTAAAGACCACTTGGCCTCACAAAACATATGCAACCAACATGTGTGTATTCACTTGAGTAATTCCTCCATAGATGGACGTTCACAACGATCCTAGTCAGCAAACGTGGAATGACTGTTTGCGCCCTAAAAACATGTTATAGGTTTTATTGACGTTTTATAGGTTTTTACATAATACCCGCGCCGATTCCTTGGATTGCCTCGGATTTTTTGGGATTGCCACTGATCTGAATTGCCTCACATCTCATTGAGTATCTTCTCCTGGATCATCTCGGGGGTTCTTCGGTTGTGACACAGTATTTCACCACACTAAATTGATAAGATCCATTTAAAGCAAGATCTGTCATTTATTTTTACTGTACGTGTTTTAGTGTGAACTAATAACCATCTCAAAAAATTATATGTCACAGATAATCATACAGGGTGTTCAAGGCTATTTAAGAGGTCGCCAACGTATTATTCTCTCCAAATACGTTTTGTTGAATTATTTTTTGATATCTTTCGCTTTATATATCATGTGTATTTCTTAACCAGGACAACTCTGTCTCGGGTGGGAGGAGTTAATTGATCAAAATAATTATGGAGGAACTTTACCGAAATTCCAAATGGTCAACATAAAGGAAAAAAATAAATGTTTATAGCTTTTTTCCAATTAGACAACGTTTTGAAGGATTCACTTTAGTTTAATTTTTATGAAGAAATTCTAGAGCTTCGGAGTATTGGGTTACAAATGATAGTGAAAGGAATGTCACTTGACGCTTGAAAATACAAAACGGCAACTTGATTTTTCGTACTGAGAGTATTCACATACTTTCATATTTTCAACTTTTACCGTGAGAACCCTGCTTACCCATTAAAATACTGGAAAACGGCTGAATCGAGCTTGTCCGAAAAAAGAACATAACATTAATTTTACTTCTGAAGTGTGAAAAACCGTGTATTTTTCAGTGTTTTCGAAGCGTGATTCAGACGATATTAGAAGAAAGTTAATGAAAAATAAACATGTATCTCACTACGGAAATCGCAGATGTCTCAATTTCTTGTTCTCAAGATGCGAAGTAACGCTTCGCTCCGTATATTTTGTGACCTATTATAAAATAGATACCATGTATATCTCTCCGTACGATATGAAATATAGCTTTCAAATGTTTGAGGCCACCATTTTGAAGTTGGAAAAGTCACCCACAAAATTTACCATACATATCGATATCTAATCACAAAGCGAAAAAAAGGACGACACATTGCTTCTGGGTAGGTGCTAGAATTGTGTGGACCTCCTTTACAGCAATCAAAATTGTCTATCTCTGTCAGAAGATTAAAACCGAAGGTCGGTATCCTTCAGCACTAAAGCATTCCAATTTTCAAACTTGCTTTTCACTGACAGACAGAAAAGCTCGACAGTACGACCCTTTACTGCCCGAAGTGTGAGATTCTCCAGAAATGCGATGCTTACTAAAACTCCTCAGTTGTTCCGTTACACCTCCCAATACGACAATACTTGCAGCATTTCGTCATGGTGGACAGCTCTGCGCCAAGTTTTTTTATAAGGTACTTAGTCATTTAGTTATCTTGTGTTTAAGGTCGTGCATATATACTAAGTGACATCTAAATCCGAACACCCAGTTTAAATGGTTTTATTTTAATAAAATTTTGTATAAGTACTTAATGAAGCATAATAAGTAAATGATAAAAATTTCAAAATGATTGCACTGCTTTAAAGCCCTTTGACCTTTAATAGTGTGTGGATGGAGCCTGATGTGCTACGCATTCTCCAACGCGCCTAGGCATGCTTCTGATCAGGTGGTCAATGTCCTCCTGTGGTATCTCATTCCAGGCAACCACCAACTCCTCTCGAAGTGCTTCTAGAGTCTGAGGAGGACGTTGCAAATTGAGCAATCTCCCACCCAACTTCGTGGATATAACGTTGCGCGTTCATGTTACCTCTGATGAAGATTAAAGGTGACCTGGAACCATAAGCTATAGCACCCCAAACCATAACTCCAACAGTGTGATGAACATGTCTTTCAACAAAAAACTGTGGATTCCTCCTTTCACCACGTCGCCTTCTAACCCTGGCACGACCATCGTGCATGCCTAAACAAAATCGAGACTCGTCACTACAGACAATACTGTTCCATTCCTGATCCCAGAGTGACCGTTGTCTGCACCACTCAAGGCGATTACGTCGGTGTTCTCGAGTTAAAGGGAGGACCCAGTGTGGCCGGTATGAAAACAAGCAAAAACTTCTCATTCGTCGGTAAACACTTCGCATGCCAATAGGTCTTCCGTGTTCTGCAAACCATTCATTTGCAACGGTCCCTTAAGGCCAATAATCTTAGGCGGCGATCTTCACGGTCTGTTGTTCTACGGCGGCGTCCAGTGCCCCTTGCTCTTTGCGTACGGCCTTCTCGAAGCCATGCCTGACAACACCTAACCACAGTGTCTACACTTCTTTGCATTCTAGCTGCAATTGCCCGAAAAGATAGTCCAGTTTTCCGAAGTCCCACTATACGGCTCCTGTCAAACTCACTAAGTTGACGAAATCGTACAGGTCTCCGTACCCTAGGCATCGTAACCGATCGTAAAGGATGTCAAGAACCAAAATCCGCCAACGTTGATTCTTTACTGCGGCTGAAATATTCATTTTTAGAGCGTTAGTGAATTAAAAAAAAAGCAGTATAAAAACCGGAATGTCCAACTGATAAGGCTGAAAATTTTTTCACTTGTTATTTAAAGTAAGATAAATACATTCACCAACTTTTATTAAAATAAAACCATTTAAACTGGGTGTTCGGATTTATGTCACTTAGTATACATATGTACTTATATACATGTACAACCTGACAAGTAGAATCCTATTGTTATAGCTGACAAAAGAAAACCAGGAGAGACCATGAAACCAGTGAGGTGAAACTTTTAACGCGTATATTTGCTCTCACTTTAACTAAAGCTCTTATGCCATCCTACAGCAGAGACAGATGGAAATATCGCTGTGACTAGAGGTACTTCGAATCCCTTTTAAATGGTTCAGTATTTATTTTAACACTCACCCCACTCTAACAATCTGCCATCGAAAATCCCATATTCGCCCTCGTCTTGATCCTGCAGCCACTTGAGGTGTAGCAAGAGTTTCGCTAAAATCCCGGAAACTGTTTCTCGGTAAGTTTACAGATGTTACCTGTACCTTTGTCTAACTCCCCGAAAAGTATTACTTGGTGAAGTTTGAGGGTTTGGCCCCTTAAATATTTATAGGATAGATAGTACAGTAATAGAGAAGAATGTTCTGTTGAATCATCAGAGGAATTATTAAAAAACAAAGGACAATCGTGAGCATATCCGCAATAAAGGAACAGGGGCAGAAATAGAAGAATTTTTAGCCCAAGCGATCTGCGTTTCTACTTATCGGCTTCATCAGGCCCAAACGGATGTGAATCGAAAACACCAAAGTGGAAACATAAGCGCATCACATCTGGATACAAGAGTTATGTCGAGAGTTTCAAGAAAGTGGATTTCAAGAAACCTTTTTTTCTAAATACCTTGACAAAACAAATTTATTGAAACCCTTTAATTACAATGGCAAATGAGTAATATATAGCTAAATACGATAGATGTGACACATATTTATCACCTCGAATGAAAATGCTGACTCTCGATATTCTTGCTGCGCGTGGATGTAATTCCAGTGGCGTAAGTCTGGTGTAACCGAAAACAACGATGGAAAGAGAAATACATCTAAAAGCCACCAACAAGAGCCATCAGGCATATTTGTGGCTGCGGCCAGAAGATCTCGTATTTACGAGGTATGGACTAATGACGCTATGGAGCTACCTACAGTCCGGTAGGCCCATGAGTAAATACTAAGAAAGGCAAATAGTCTTGCGGAAGCCACCACCAGCAACAGCCAGCAGGCATTAGGTATCAACTAACGTCGTCACGCAGGCGAATTATATAAATCGTCAAGAGAGCATCTATACAGGGTGTCCGCAAAGTTGGGGTTTTCCTTTACACGACGTGTAGATCTTGAAAACATAAGCAATTTTTCTTAGTACCATATACACCAATGTCTTAAGGGAACAGAGATAAAGGGCTCTGCAACATCAAAAATATCTGAATACCGTCCTGTAGCCGCGACTTGCGATATCCCCAACTGGTACCGGCTACCAGCTCAACCCGACGACAGAACTGGGTCGGGGGTCGGGGTCAGTGTGTCAGGTCAGTAGTATGCAACCTTCAACCGACGGTAAAGGGTCACGCGTATAGAGGTAACGAACCCGTATAATCGATTGCGTTTAAAAAAAAAAATAATAATGGCACACTCATACACCAATAATGAACTCGTTGATATGTTGTTAATTTATGGCGAATGTCTTCAAAATGCTACAGAATCGTCGCGAGTGTATGCAGATCGTTTCCCTAGACGACATCATGCAAGGCCCCGCAGATTTGTGTACCTGGTCCAGAGAGTCAGGGATACGGGCCATTTGGAGGAATTTCGAGGTCGGCACAGTGGGAGGCCTAGACAACCACGAATGGTGCAAGTTGAGGAAGAACTACTGAATCGCGTAGACGAGAATCCCTCAACAAGCACTAGAGACGTGGCTAGAGAAGTGCAAGTATCAAAAACTAAAGTGTGGCAAACGTCCAACGTGTACAAGCCCTTCAACCTGACGATTTTCCAGCAAGTGTGCGGTTTTGTGAGTGGTTGTTGCATCAACATGACAATAATCCGGACTTTTTGAAGTGCATATTGGTGACAGACGAATTTACGTTCACGCGTAATGGGGTGAATAACTTTCGATTTCAGGCAGAGACGTACTTAGCGCTTCTCGTCAACTGGAGAGTGAGTACTTTTTCCTTTATTTTTTTTTACTTGGTCGCCCTCTTTTCACTACACATTACCTTTGTTATTTCAAGGGTAGTTGTTTCTGAAAAGGAAAACCCCAACTTTGCGGACACCCTGTATACAGAGACACAACAAAACTATATTAAAACAAGATAATAAACAACATTTACACACTGATAAACTCACAGACATATATAAACATTTATGTATTAAAAAAACTTTCAAACAATACTTGAAGTGAATTTGATTTGCCATTCCTTGTATATCGTTTGGAAGCATGCTAAAGATTAGGACCTCCCACTTTAAATTTAGAAAAATTGGAGTGTATATTATTACTCTGCCTAGTGGCAACTGTGTGTATTTCTTTGCTGAAAGTAAACTTGGTCTTATTCCGGAATACATATAATGCCAACTTGTGAATCGCCAGTGCAGGTACTGTTAAAATTTTATATTTTTTAAAAATTTCTTTACAGCTGAATGTTTTACTTACCCGAGTCATTGATCTAATAATTCGTTTTTAAGCAATAAAAACATGTGCCGCAGCAGAGCAGGCCCAAAGACAAATACCGTATCTGAGTCTGGACCCCACAAAGCCGATCAGCTGACTTTCAGAGAGAACCAAGCTTAAATTTTTAAACAAATAAGAGAGAGAGTCAAGTTGCGAAACCAGGTAGTCGCAATATACTCCGAAATTCAGCTTATCGTCTAGAAATATTCTCAGAAACTTAACATCAGTTGTGAAGTTTAATAACGCATTCTTATGTTTAACCCTATAATACTAACCATTAGTAAAATATACGAAAGCATTTTTCTTTTTTGAGAATTGGCAACCATGTATCCAACGTAAGATTTTGACCGCACGTGTAGCTTCCTCAGTTGATGTACTGTACCAGCGCAGATTAGTGTCATAGTAATTCACCTAACACACATGTGTGTAATCGAAGCCTCGTCGTATTTTTTACGAAAGGTTAGTATTTACGTTATAATTTTTTTAGGGCATATACGAAGATTTTTTGAATTATTTTAGAATTCAGCTGACTACAGCATGGCCAAGAAGTGGGAAGATAAAGGCCTTATCTTTATCTCAGAAGGAAACTAGAAGACCTAATACCAAAATCTGATGATGAACTCGAAGATTTTTAGAGGCTTTCTAGCGGATCAGAAACTGAGAAAAACTTGGAAGAAGATTTCAGTCTTTCTGAATCAGAATATGAGCCCGAAACATCTGATAGAGAAAGCACTGACTCTGATGAATGTAACTATAGAAAGCGGAGAAGAATTAATAGAGGGTCGAAGCCAACACAGGAACATTATCCAGTAGAGTGTGATCAAGGAGATGTCCAAGTAGACCAGCTTGCTGCACAAAATTTGGAAGATGAACAAAGTGTATCAAATGACCAGGAGATTGAAACACAGAGACCCAATATAGAAAACTTCTCTCAAACAGAAAGAGTAATCAGGATATTAGCGATAATGAAGATCTACATAACTTGGGAGATAAACCACATGAAACTATTCTCAACAAGGGGATGCGGGGCAAAAACGGTCATCGATGGTGTACAGTGTCCAACATACGTAAGCGCGTTGCCCAACGAAACATCGTTCACGTGATGCAAGGTCCATCTGGGGCGGCACGCGATGCCGATAGTCCTTCAGGTGCATTCCAGTGTTTATTCGACGAATCTATTTTTGGAAAAATTTTGGAGCACACAAATGCTCACATTGCAATAAGATGTGGAAACTACAAGGTGGCTAAATCTACTGTTTCTACCACGACCAGACAGGAATTGAATGCCCTCATTGGGTTGCTTATATTTGCTGGTGCCCAAACAGACAATCACTTGAGCACTAGGGAAATGTTTGACTCGAGGAAATCGGGTTCTTATTATAGGGCAACGATGAGTTGTGAGAAGTTTGAATTTCTAATCAATAATCTGCGATTTGATGATAAAGCGACACGTAACGAAAGAAGAACTGTCGATAATTTCGCGCCTATTAGAGAGATTTGGGATCAATTTATTACAAAATGCAACAGTTCCTATAAACCGGGAAATTACATCACAATCGATGAGCAATTATTGGGCTTCAGAGGCCGCTGTCCATTCAAAATGTACATTCCGAGCAAGCCTTCCAAATATGGAATAAAGATTGTGATGACATGTGATGTAGGGACCAAATATATGCTAAATGCAGAGCCTTACCTAGGAAAACACACCAGCACTCACGGTGTACCACTAGCAGAGTACTACGTCAAGAAATTGACAAAAAAGATGTACATGGAAGTAACCGCAACATCACGATGGATAATTGGTTTACTTCTGTTAGTCTAGCTGACCAGTTATTATAACCACCATATAACATAACGATTCTTGGAACATTGAGACAAAACAAACGCGAAATTCCTCCTGAAATGCTCAACCTACAAAACAGAGAAGTAGAAAGCTCTTTATTCTGTTTTGACCAGCAAAAGACTTTATTATCCTACAAAACTAAAAAGAATAAAAGCGTTTTAGTCTTGTCTACCATGCACGAGGGATCCAGAATTTGTCAAAATACCCAAAAACCCGAGATTATCTTGCATTACAACCAGACAAAAGGAGGGGTAGACGCATTTGATCAAATGTGTGGAAATAGAAGTTGTTCGAGAAAAACTCGCAGATGGCCCTTGTGCATGTTCTTCGGAATGCTCAATATGGCAAGTATTAATGCATGGATAATATATAACCATAATTTGCAAAAACGGGGTAAACAGACAATAACTAGGAAGGCCTTTATGAATCAACTGCATGAAGAATTGGTAAGACCATGGTTAGAACAACGCTTAAGAGTGCCAACTTTACAACGCTCACTCAAGCTCTTAATCAGTGATATAATTGGATTGCCACTTCCGAACGATCAAACAGAACCTCGTGCTCTGAGACGCACCACTTGTTATATCTGCCCCTCAAAAAAACGCCGAATGACGTCACTATACTGCACCCATTGCCGACGCGCATTTTGCGCAGAACATCGTGCCCGTTGTTGTGTAACATGCGATGCCGATAAATAATTTATCATTTAACACTCTTTTGAAACTCCAAATAAACATATGTAATACAAGTCTGTAATAAATTCTTTTGGAAAAACCTTTTTTTTGCTGCCCTTTTCACAGTCGTAAAATATACGAATGGTTAGAATTCACGCTACTTCAATTGAAGGTTAGTATTGCAGGGTTAACGTCAGGAATATGTATCTTTTTTTTGTGGGTTATGAAACCTAATTAAATTGGTCTTGTCAGTATTCAAAAACCACAGATGTTTGAAAAACCAATCACCGACCTTTGCAATTATTTCGTTGGATCTGTCATTTAAGATATTTTCCAATTTGCTCAAGATTAATATTGAAACATCATCTGCATTGAGTATGAACAGCGCATCCTCACACACTGACTCGATCCCATTGATATATAGTATGAACCAAATAGGCCCTAAAATGGAACCTTGAGGAACCCCAATATCATCAGGAACTTCACTGGATTGGACTCGATGTAACATTTGATCATCTTTAGGAAGTAGAGAAACATATTGTTTCCTATCAACAAGGTATGTGTTGTGCCACCTATAAGGAGCACCATTCACACCAGATGCAGAGAGCTGTGAAAGAATGTTATGGTTCAAACAGTCCAAAGACTTACTCAAGTCGCAAAATACCCCAACTGGACACTCTCCTGCCTCAATGAATGAAATCAGTCGTTCATAGAAGGAAGTGGTTGCTATTGTTGTTGACGTTCCAGTAGAGAATCCGCATTGGTTCAGCGAGATAATATTTTTCTTCTCAAAAAACATCAGCAAGCGGCTGGCGTAGCAATACTCAAACATTTTTGAGAAGCCAAATGGTACCGTGGTTGGCCTGAAATTCCCCATGTCTGATGGATCTTCTTTTTTGTAAGCCGGTACCACCTTTCCGTACTTCAGAACTTCTGGAAATTTCCCTAAGAAAAAAGACAAATTAATCAAGTATACTAGAGGCTTACTAATAGTGTGTAACGCCTGTTCTAAGAGAAATCCAAAAATTTCATCTGGACCAGCTGAATTCTTATTCCTGAATTTATCTTTTAACAGGTTTAGAAACTTGTCTTCGTTGAACGGGTATAGAAACATTTTGTTTGCTGTATTATGTGATTTTTCGAAGCTGCAGTGACATATTGTTGTTTGGATGAACTACGATGATATATTTTTGAAGTATGAACTGAAATGATTTGGTATATCCAGTGGATCAGTTATAATAGCTTCATCTACTTTTAAGTAATTCTTGTTTATTTTTTTCTTTTTGAGTTATTTTAGAAACTACGGTCCAAGTCGTCTTACTGAGGTTTCCCGGTTGGAAGATTTTGTTCAGATAGTGTGGCTGTGGCCACCAGATTCTGATGCAATTTCTTGGCTCGAAGATATTCGGATTTGGCTTCTGGGAACATTTTAGTTGAGCCAAATAAGATTTTCAGTTTCCTGCTTGATATTACTACCTCATTGTTCACCCATTTCTTTGCATTCAATTTTTTAAAGCGTTTCATTGTATTACGAGGAAAATTGTACTACAACTTGCTTCGAAGGCGTGGGGAGTATAGAGTCAATCTGCTTGTCGCCATTTTATTTCATTGTCAACTACAATCATGCCAAATTTCAACTCATTATTATTTTTTCTAAGCACAGAATCCCCGAGGATTGGACTATAGTAAGTTTCAGGCCCTTAAATATTTATAGAATAGAGGAAAACTTCGTCCTGCAACTGAATGGTTTTTATTTTTCCGGCAGACAAACAGGATGGCGCGAACGGGTTTGTTTAGGAAGCGCAAATATGAAAAGTTATGCTAGAAAAATGCGAACTTTCCGGTGAAGTGACCGGTAGCGTAAGCAGAACAATGAAGTTTTCAACTTTGGGATGATAAAACTGCCGTTAACGGAACGGGATAGAGCGAAGTCTGAATATAGGGAAATGTTTCACAATTCCAAGATGTTGAATTTGATTCAGAAAAAGCTTTCAGTACAGTGCACATAATCTCATTTACTATTTTCTTTCATGTGGATACTGCAAGACTTTTTACTTTATATTCACGCATGTTGTGTAGAATATATTGAGTAAATTGTTTTCTATAATATAAAATATTCCACATATAAGCCGAGCTAGAGTCACTTTAGCTCCAATAGGATTTGAGAAAACACAAAAATGACAATTGGTGATCCTTGTTAAGGTTGAAAAAACCGGTGTAAGACTTGTATAGGAAAAAATATGAGATTAGCCAGGAGCTGACAAGCCGGAAGAGCTAAAGAGGGGTCTAGTTCCAAAAGTATGATTACTTATTCGCTTGGATCAAGTTCACGTTCATAACAGCCATGGATGTGATATTCAATAAGCAACAATCTCTTTTTGAAGAAATTAACACCTCCTAGAAAATCTAATTAAGTTCTAGCAATATCGGCGGGATTATCTATCATTTCAGATTATTCGACAAAACACATGACATTATCTAGCTAATTTTAACCTTCCAGCCTCACTGCCGCCGAATTAACTTCCGACCATCGATGAATATATTGTTAAAAACATTGAAGGTGACGTTATCCTTCCCTAGTATGGTTGACCAAGATTTTTGTAAACTGTGATTATAATTTACAGCAGCGTTCAAAATGTGGGGGTGATCATATAGTTGTGCATACGCCTAAAAAATGGCGTCAAGTAGACTGACTCTATAATTTCGATGCCTTCGAAATAACTTCTAGTACAATTCTCCATGTATTGCAATGACACGAAAGAAACTTAGGTTTTGTGAGAATCATTAGTCCACTATTTGGGATCTTAAAGAAAGAAAGATCTTCAGCCTGCAACAATGAGCGTGTCCGTACATCGTAGTCCCATTTCTTTGGATCTGGTATAAAACTGTTTGTGAACAATGTTATATCTAATTATAATAGATTTTGATACGTATTTGTATTTATATACTATATAATATTACCTCATGAAATCAAGTAACCTCGTAAAATTACACTCCAAACATAAATAGATTAGATTACAGAAGCGAGTGGTTCGATTGCCAGCCTTAACGTCACTGCGACCCAAGTGGATCTATATAATTTCTAAAGCACTGTGTCCAGCCTTGATCCTTTGATCAGATTCCATAGCCTTCCATGTGGCTCACCGCTGTTGGACCTGAGGTTCCTACTACGAGTATCTGAAACCGTAGACTCGCCAGGCCTTCACAGTGACACAGGAGATGCACTGGGGTTTCGTCATGTTCTCTGCAGAAACAGCATGTAACCTCTTCTACCAGACCCAAGAGCCTCATATCTGGATTTAGATGACAGTGACCTATCATGAGACCCACTATGGCCCTTATGGCCTTCCTATTGAGTCTGAGTAGGTCCTCTGTAAAAGCGGGCCTTCGTTCTTTGATGAACTCTTTTGCCCCAATTGGCTGTTGACTTCTTCTTAGTCCAATTTCTTATGGACTGTTTAGTGCGTGTTCTCGTCACGCCACAGGAAGGCTCTGGTCTTTTGAGGCAATTAGACACGCCCTGTCGGGCTAGCTCATCCGCCTTTCCATTTCTTTTGTGCCCTTCATGTTCCAGTGCAAAGTTACCTTGTTTCGGTTTCCCAGCTCTTTGAGAGTGTTCGCGCCATCCCATAGTGGTTTAGACTATATTCACGATGAACTTGATGCCTTTATGGCTGCCTGGCTATCCGAGCAGATTACGATCGACTGATTCGCAGTCTCATTCCTTATTAGCTTTTTTGCACATACTTGTATGGCCGTTACTTCAGCATGAACTATTGTTGCAATATTGCCTAGACTTAATGAGATCTGTTTTTGGTCTTGCCCCATAAATCCCAGCTCCATCTTCAGTATTCGGGCCGTCCGTGTACCAGTAGCTTTTAGCATGTATAGGGGGTCCCTCCTCCAACGCCTTCCTTTCCGGTAATATTGTTTGATAGTTTTTATCGAAATTGTACACGGGAACAGTTGTGTCCGGGGGCACTACCAATATAGGTTCTGCCTTCAACTCCGTGTATAGTATTTGATGGTCTTTTCCGTGCTGTCGACTGATCGGTGTTTGGCCTTGAGTTGGTCTGTGAGCCACGGAAAGGGCATCACCCTGAATAAATATGTGTAATGGTGGTAGGTCGAGAAGGACCTCCAACGCTGCAGTACTTCTGCTCAAGACGAATCTAGCAATTTTGCTATAAATCGAGATCAAAAGGGCCAGCGAGCAGTCATATGTAGTTACATAAAAATATGATGAAACAAACAATTGCAGGGAAGGTCAGAAGTGGTTAAAAAATCTACATGATGTTTAAGATGGAAATGCATCGCACAGGATCTCGGGAACGGTTAGATTTACGAGGTCTGTAAATGAAGTGATGAGACTACCAACGACCTGACAACATTGCAGGCGCCGGGCCTGGATGGATGATACTTGTACAGTACGGTGTAATGGGCCAAGGCCTTTAACCGATATATTTAACTTCTGTTTCCAAATTTCCAGGAGGAGGTTATCCATAAGATCCAAACGACAGTTCGCACCATTAAGTATGTGCTGCGCTGTAACAGATGACTGACGTCGTCGAATGACGTCGTAAAACAAAGGGCGATCTGACGTAAGCAATCATGATGGCAGCGAAAGGACACGTGGAGCGCAGGGGGAGGGAAAACAAATGCAGATCACTGCACTGGTGACATAGACATAGACGCCGAGGATGGTGACAACACAACCGAATTGGTTCGACCGTGTACGTGCGGGGAGAAAAATGGTGTTTTCGCTGTGGGAATAGATGGTAAGGAATTTTAGATTGCCTATCGTATTTATCCTGGTTAGTGTAGCAATAGTCTGGTATCACATGTACGATGGTAGGTTACACATGGGGCAGTCTTGGCCAAAGTACACCTTGAGCATTCTCCTATTATTCCAGAAACGTTGATGAATACAGGATTTGGGGAAATTTTAGTTAATTTTATATATAGCACCTTCAAGAATAGCTAATAATTCTTTGTATATAGCATAAGATACCAAAACATTGCCCTAGTCCCGCATAAAATGGATAAGCGCAAAGTGAGATAGGTAGATAAGAGCTAAATTTTATATCAAAATAGACTAGAAAATAACGGTGGTTCCAAATTCTGTACATTCATTAAAACACCGACAGCATACATATTATGTTGCAGCGGTTGTTTTTAGAAAATCGCAGCTTTGCATAAATTATTTGAGGCTTTATTGCTTATTGCATATTTATAGCCATTTGCGACAAATAAATAACAATGACAGTCAGGAGACACGAATAGTGAATCTACTTTGCTTTGGAACTATATTGTTTTCTATCATGATTCAATCAATTTGATTTGTATGACCAGAAAAGTTTCTTGAACATACGTTGAGTTTGTTGAAAATTCAATCAAGGAAATGGTAAAAACGAATTATAATCAAAATATTTATTTGGCAAAAGTCAGCGTTTTTCTAAAATAAGCGTTTTCGTTTGACGATTTAAAGAAATATGCATGAATATAGGTATATACTTGGTAACAGATACGACAAAACGTTAGTCAGAAGTTCTTCCGTGACACACGTATGCTCGAAAATGCAAATCCAAAATCTTTGTTTGCTCGATCGTCCAAGCTTGATAGACATCTTGCAGGTTCATGAATGAGTAGGTACAAAAAATGTAAATGAAGAGTATCCATCGACATAATACTCAGACACTACTACCCAAGACACACATTTTGTGTGAATTCTGCCGTTGAGTGAGCCATGTATGGATGCAAATTGGGATATTTTGACCTTAATAATGAAAGTTGCAGTCTACTGTCAACGAGAAACAATACCAGTGGAATTACTTTGCACCAGTGTCGTGCTTGCTTGTCATCTTCTTGAACGTTATAATGATATAAGACTTCAGCTATATATAGTTTGGCAAACGGATCTGCGACATCGGGGTATCGGTGAGGGGAAAGCAAAACATGGCTGGTTTCATTCATAAAATGCCAGCGGCGTGCGGTATTTTATAAAAGTTTGGGATTATTTCATAATTGGTTTAAATTTAGTAAACTATACGTTTATGTTTCACTTTAAATTTGGGGAGTATCTCAATAAGCCCACAATGATATGGAGCATTGTCCATAATAATAAATAAAGTCTCGGGTAAACTCAAAAATAGCTGCTCTCTACAATCTACACCATGTAAAAAAACACTTGAGTTTGTTTCTACACTTCAACAAACGGAAAAATGTCTACTCACTTCCCAAAATTGCCACAATTCAAAAAATCATGATAACTGCGCGATTTAAAACCTAAATCAAGCTAGCGTTTTTGTCAAAGCCGTAAATAAAATATATTTTTCAAATACAAATAGATACTTAACGTGGTTTTTTACCTTGAGAATATATATATATATATATATATATATATATATATATATATATATATCTATATAACTTGAGACGACCTTTGTTGCTACTGTTATCATTGTAATTGCAGCTCCTGATGATGATGGCAAAGTCCATTGAAAGCTAGAGAGAATTAAAAAAAAGTATAAAGAGTCCTCTTTGCTTAAATTTTGTCGAAGTACCCAACAAAAGGCGGAAGCTTTAATTTTTCACCTATATCTATATATATATATATATATATATATATATATATATATATATTATACATCCGTGATCTTATAATATGCTCATTTACTTTAAAAAGTGCCACAAGCCGAAACATGACCAGAATTAATTTTTATTTTATAATCCGCATCTTTCTGGATTCCTATTGTTGCAATTTTGGACTGTTGATGTGGATATTTCTAGAGCATCGGTGTCGCTTAAGTAGAAACAAAGAACTTTAAACATATTTCATATCCGTTTAACTTATAATCTCTGTAATAAATAATACTTACATTATACAGCATTTCAAAATTACATTTCACCTATTGAATTAGCATTGGTGTTCGTCAACTTCATCATTATCATCATCGTCACTGTCGTCATCAGTTTCGCTGTCGTCATCTTGCCCTATAGTTATTATAACTGGTTCCATTTCCTCCATAAATTGATCATTTTCCCAAAATTTATCTTCAATGTCCCTAGCATGTTGACAAAATTTCTGCCAATCATTAATGGGTATTAAGGACATCGCTTCCTGAGTAACTTCTTTCAGTGCGGTTAAACTGAAGTTTCCAGTGGTATTGCGGCTTCTTTTATGAAATTTAAGCTTTGCCCAAGCTAATTCTATTGGGCTTAGCTCGCATAAATAAGGAGGTCTTCTTAGAGGAGTATGTCCATGTGATCTTATGATCCGATCAACTACATAATTTTTTTGGTTGTCAGGGGGCTTATGAAGTAAGACCAGATCGAACAAGTCAAATTTTCTGACAGTTGCCTCATGATTTATGCCTATAAAATATTTTATTGTATAGTTTGATATGTACATGCATGTTTTGAGTCATAAGTACCTTTCCTTGTCAACCAGGCCATTATATCTTTTTTCGAAGATGATTTTGTCGGAGTTTTATCTTCCTGGACGGAATGATATGGAGCATTGTCAAATACTATAACCGAATTGGCAGGTATATTCGGGAGGAGTTTTTCTGTGAGCCAGCGTGTGAAATTTTCCCGATTCATCTGACCGTGGTAATCGCCTGTAGCTAATCCCGCCTTAAATATCAAACAGGCATTGTCAACAAATCCATTTTCTGAACCTGCATGCACTATAATGAGTCGACCTAAAATATACAAGACGATTATATAATATGTTACAAATCAGAGTTAAATTTAACATATATATATATAGCATTTTTGCTTACCTGTAGAACCTATACTGCTTATTACACCAGAAACAGTTTCGCTCTGCCAGCATTTTTTGAAAGTCAAGTCATTGTCCACCCAGGTTTCGTCCAAATAAACAATATTGCGCCCTTCTTCACGATATCTACGTATTTCACGGACGTATTTGTACCTCCATTGCAATATATTAGGCCTCTCCATCAAAACTTTTCTTTTATTTTGACATTTGCGCCAAAAAAAAAAATTTGATTTTAATAAACTCCTGAGTGCTTCCTTAGAATAGGGGAAATTTGAGTCTTCTCGCAACTTTTGTAATAACTCCCTAGTTGTCGGGATAACTTTATATTCAATATAAAATCTGTTTATCAAATGTCTAATAATCTGAAAATCAAAATCTTCATCTTTCTCAACAAGAGACTGACGCGGTCTTTTTTTTTCCGGGACTGGATAACATTTTATTCGGGTTATTTTCTAGTCTTTCTTTATCTTCGTTATGAATTTTCCTAACAGAAGATACTCCGACTCCGGTATAAAGGGACACCCTATCAAGCTTACGTTTAAGCGGCAACTTGAGGGAATTGTTTGCCGCTTCCTCATCGCAAACCCTATAAATAATCATCAGAATGTAAGCTTAGCATTTCCTTGTTTTTTATTTATATTCAGACTCAGTCGTCAAAAACTACAATTATTGCATATTATTATTACTAACCTATAAACATTCGCAATCACTTCTCTTGTTTGGCTATGAAGCGTCTTTCCGCGAGTAAATTAGTTCATTTTAAAAAAATAATACTAAAACGAATAACAATAACAACAAAACACTAAACTATTCAAAAACACACAGCACTAAACATACAAACTTAGTAGAACAATAAATGTAACACTCATACACGACAATGAACGGAGATAAAACCTACGCCACTGGACTTTTCAATAGTATGGATATTCTAAGAAGGGAGCAAAAAATTGTCTGGGACGCTACCCAATAGGGAGTCGAATTTTCTCTTGGCGACAAAACATGTGAGGATATTCGCCAATCAGATTCGTTTAGGCGGTGTCCAATATACCTTTCGGGTGGTTGTTGCCAGCTCAACCGATGTCGATAAGATCTTTGGAAAAATGTTTACTTATAATACGATTCAGTAGTAAAAAATAGTTATTAAATACAAATAGAGCTAACAACCCATTAAAATACTCAGTATTTTGAATTATTATTTTTTGGAATTGTGAAAAATCGATTTTCAAATCATTGAAATTACCTTTATTATTATTATTGCTTTTTTGTAGTAAAATTTGGCAATATCGAATATTTTCGGTCGCATTCCTTTCGCTGTTGCAGATCCGTTTGCCAAACTTTACCTACCTGAATATTTGAGTAGCGTTAGGAATAACGGAATACAAAATTTCTCTCTGAAGTGATTGAATAGTTATAACATGCAGCAATTATTGACATGTGAAGCGATTTTAATTATTTTCAAAATTGAGTTTTCTACAAAGTATTTTAGATCATGATACGTAACTTATCTCACTCGAGAAATAACTGACTGATATTCTGCATTGCTCGTTACATCATCGTTTCTTATTGTTATTAAAAATTAACAAGCGGGGTGCAATGCAGGCCTGAATCCCTGAATACATAAAAACAAATAACATCCCTTTCTTTTTACTGTAATATTTATATTTTTGTTATCTGTTGCATTTATGTTTACTTATGTTTTTTTCATCTTAGTAGCTACCCCAACAACATATTGATTCCTCACCGAAAATCACAAAAAACTCTTTCTCATATTTGGATGGTTTTAAACATTATTGAGACATAATAAAAATGTTAGAGTGTATTTTTTTTATAATCGATGCTTCGTTCCACTTTTTAAATGTATTGCTTCTTCTACTTTAGCTTTCATAGTACTTTTTTTGTTGCAGATCCTTAGTCTGAAAGAAACACCACTGGTATTTTACGTTTCAAGTATTGAAAAACTGTTATAATTATGTAGATGTCGTGTTACCAAATACATTTTTTCTCTATGAGTCTTAGTTTATTTCACAAAGATTTTTATTGTTTGAAGTAGCTAAATAAGTCATTTCCTATCTACTCTATTCTAACACTAAAGGCAATATTTGAAAGCCTAGAAGGAGATTAAAATATTAAAAAGCAGTAGACAAAATAAAGTATGTTAGAGGTCTTTCTGCGTAGATAATGATAATGGATTGACCATATTTTTGGATTATACGATTTTTGGTTGTTTCACAAACACGTGGTATACGCAGTATTAATAGAAAATTAAGGGCAGGCTACACAGGTTATCACAGTGTATTATTTTTGATTGACATGTGCACAATTTGAGCGCGTTTTTGGTTAATAGCAGTAGCATTACGTTCAATGAAACCAACATATGTATTTCCAAAAAGTACAAGATACACGAAATTGTTAAGAAATAAAACTACACTAATCAAAAGCATTACAAAATGACCGATATACTGGGTGGAGCATGAGCGCCTGCACGATTATTTCGGGTCATCGGCAAGAGGAAGATTTTTTGTGCAAGTATACATATTATGCTCCCAATGGTATCTTGATCTCGAAAATCTCATACAGAATACTCACAGCAATCTGAGCGCTACAATTTCGGGACAAACGAAATCCTGATAATTATGAAAGGAATTCACGTGAATAATATATTCACGTTTGGTGTGCTCCTCTTTCCAGCATGTACGCTTATAATGAATATTTATGATCCAGAATCCAGAACGATCCAGATTACTTTCGTTGAACTCCTACCTTGAATGAAATACATCGCTCATGTGATGTCGAGCGAAAGCACAGACTTTAACTTATTAGGAGCTAGATATCTAGTTTGTGATAAAACTAATTATACCAGTTCGATCTGTTACAGACAGGTTCGCCAATTAAATGTGTCATTTTAATCAGTCGCTAGACTGAGGGCAAACTTTTTATACTCATAATTGGCGGTTGCTCGAGGAGCTTAAATCTTGATACTCTAAGCGATAATTGCAAGCTTTTTGGCACTGATTAACGTATTCTACCTAAAAATAGTCAACCATATGTTACATTTAAGCGCTCAAAAAAAGGGCTCAAAGACCCTGGTGCCACCTACCAGGCAGTAGCAGAACACAAAAATGAGTTCAGAAATCTACTGTGAAAAGAGTCACAACGTTGGGTACGTTGGCGTAAAACTCTTTTGCAGCATTGAGAGTATGTACAGGTATTTGGATCTGCTTTTGTCAGATAGCTAGCGCTAGAATCCTCAATAGCTTTTTAGGGCATCTCTAATGCCTATTTTAATTGGGTATCTTCGGGCATTGGTAAACGTACTCCATCAAAGAGATTGAAGATCCTAGAGCCTGGTATGAGACGCCAGCAGAAGCACTTTAACTCCTTTCAAAGTAAATTCACAATACATTTCAGAATCCTTTTTAGGTGCTGGAATATACAGGGTGGCCCATCCATGTGTGGGCGGAATATTACTCATAAACAAATACATTTTGGGAAAATCTATTTATGGGATGTTATATAGGACATTTGAGGGCACATTTCTAAAATATTGGCCATTATACAGGGTGTCCCAATTTCGACCTACATATCAAAGTTGTGATTTTTCAAATGGAATGCCTCAAATTTTATTGCATATTTGGATAAACCAATTCAAAAACAGAAAATTGATATTACGTACTATGGGGTTTTGGTTATTAGCTACTGAAATATAAGGTGTTTTGTCTAGAAAAACCCTCCACTTCGGTTACGCCTCAGTCCGCCGTTTTGAAATTTGGAGTGCTGAATTTTGTATCAAAAAAACTTACACACCTTAGCTTTTATCTTATTTGTTAGTTTTTCGAATTTGAATGTTTGCTCACACAGGGTGGTCACAAACGAAAATTTTAGTTCCTCTCAAAAATTCAAATACAACAACAAATTGTTGATTAGTTACAAACTGTCAAAATTAGCTTTATGAGCATTATAATAGGAACGTGTTGGAAAATGAATTTTTCTAAACAAGAAATGGTGAATATGGTGTTCGTTTTGGGCGAAGCCCAAAGAAATAGTTTCCTAGCATCTCGCATTTATAAGCAACGGTACCCTAATTCGCGACATCCAAGCCCGGAAACATTTTCCACACTACGAGAACGTTTTGAATCAAGTGGAGCAGTGGAATATAGTAAAAAAATGTATAAAAATCCCCATTTAAGTGCAAGGCAAATTGGAGTGAAAACTGATATGTGCAGAACTTCTGTCCAAAGGATTATCCACAAGCATAGGTACCATCCATATCACCTATGCTTGCATCAAGGCCTTCGTCCTCAGGATTGCGCAGCTCGAATGGAGTTTAGTAGAATAATGCTTAATAAAGTGAGTGAAGACACTGATTTTCTGGATAATGTTCTTTTTAGCGATGAAGCAACTTTTAACAACATAAGTGTTGTCAACATTATGCGATGGAAAACCCTTACTGGGTTAGGTAAATAGATTTCCGAAATAAATGGAGCCTGAATGTTTGGGGAAGAGTTATTGGCAGACAAGTTATCAGGCCTTTCTTTCTCACTAACAGTTTAACAGGTGCAGAATACTTGAATTTTCTGATCGAGCATTTGCCTTTGCTTTTGGAGGATGTCAACCGGCAAACTCGGATGCATATGTACTTCCAACATGACGGCGCACCTGCGCATTATCATAATCGTGTGCGTAACTATTTGGACATCTGGAGTAACAATCATTGGATCGGTCGTGATGGGCCTATAGCTTGGCCTTCTAGACCACCAGATATGACACCGATGGACTTCTTTCTATGGGGCTACGTTAGGCAAGAGTTTTATAGATATCCATCATTTACCCCAGAAAATATGCTGAGAGGAGTGCAACGGTCATTTATACAAAGACTACGGCTGTGTATTCAACATGGTGGAGATATTTTCGAGCAGTTTTTGAAGATTAGGTCTTGAGTAGTATGTTTATGTTGTTGTTATAGTTGTTTTTCTCTATTACGCTTGAAGCCGATTTATACTGTTCTGATTGTTATTAGTTTTTACGTCAAATCTGTACTCTTTCACAGCAAAAACAGAAGCAAAAAGTTTCATAAAACATGCGGGTCAAAACGTAATTTCTCTAGAGAAATCGACTTTAATGTAAAATAAATCTGACAACGCCGCAAAACTATGCAAAAGGATAACTAACCACTGTTACCATTTGCGATCGTTTGCAGGTTCAATAAGAGTGATGATGACCGACGCGCTGTTGTTAAGTGTATTTTAAATATTCAATTTAATGAAACTTGCTTTCTTACTGACTACAGATTTTGGCTTAACTTAGAAAAACTTAATGCCATTTATTTGTTAATTACCCAATTTAGAAAAGTTTCAGATTAGATTATAAAAATTAGTAAGATTACGGTGATTGTGATCGACATAAAATACTTAAAGTTGTAAACTATAAAGCCATTTAGACAAAAATCTATTGACTTTTGGACTATGGGTCATATGAACTTTTTGACTTGTTTTGATCACCCTATTACCCATTTCAACAATGACTACCATAACGTTCACACCCTGTATTACTTACAGCTTGATCTCAAGAACGACTCTGAAACAGACGCCCAAATGAGATATATTTTTTGAATGTTTTACATGTATACTATATCACGAAAAACCATGTCACTCATTTCCATCGGTCTGTCTGTCTATCGGTCTGCCCGCTAATCTCATAGCCCCCTATAACTTGAAAAGTCCCGCTCGGATTTCGATGAAATTTATAGACAACGTTACTACTATGCCAATGACGCAAAAGTCTTGTTGTTTTTGCAAATCGGTGCAGTGGCGGCACAGACAAAAGCCTGGAACGTTGACAGAGGATATTGATCACGTTTGAAAAAAAAAATACAGGTAAAAAGTTTGGGGAGGCTTTATCCAAATTTTTTTGATGCCGGTACATTTATACGCTCCGAACATTGGTAACTCTACGCACCTATTAGACGTATTTCACACATCATAGGTTTCTCGGTATGGAATCACACGTATTTCTACCGTGCAACAGCGCATGTTTTCTATGCTTCAATTGCGCTACCACGGTGTCAAGTCTGCCCGAGTTAGGTATGGGGAAGATGCGACGTTTCCAGATGCACTACCGGTAGGGCAGAGAAGGAATGTCTATGGACTAGTTGTAGGGACCTGTTTGACTAACTTTTTTCTGTGAGGGTCTAACTTGTGCTGAACATATTCCTTTATGTTTTTCAAGGACGTTGCATGGGAAGTGCAGAGTTAACCTACTTGACGCCATTTTTTATGATCAAAGTTTTCGGTGTTCTTCGGCATTAAACCTTGGAAAAGTGGATCAAAGTAAACAAAATATCGAGGATCGTTGACGTACTTTATTAAATTTCCAATTGAGTACCTGTAAATCATCATTTGACAATTAAAGTACATTCAACATACATTTTAAAATCTAAGAAATAATGTACACCTAATTGAAATTATTTATTTCAAAAGTTCACTAAGAGGAAGAAAATTGCAAGATGGGGGCCATATAAACCTCCTTTGGAAAGATATAGTATGATAAAAAATATTTTGATTCGCAGTAATATCCATATACCCTAACACATAGGTTGAGACAAATATGTCAAATTGTTAAAAAACTGTGAGCATTTTTTAGTTTTATATATTGACAACTCAAATCTGTTCTCACCCGTTTTATAACATTTATCTTTAACCTCTTGCTTGCTTCCTGTTCGGCATTAAAACAAGTCTGCCCCTTAGAGGCACCTTTCAGCTTAATTCAATCCTTCCACATCATGACCGAATCCTTCATTAAATAATTCAAAATCCTACAATTGGATCCTGAGGGTCGCATCTAAACTTGGAGCACGTAAACATGAAACAGTTCTATATAGTTTAACTCTCTTCATGGCTTCATTGCTCCATTCAGTTACCTTCCTTATAATAATGTGGGTTTCTGAACGATTTTGATAAATTAATTGTCAACCGCTGATTAGAATCATTCAATGAAGATAAGGGAAATGCAT